TCTACTGATGTATAGAGCCAGTGCTGTTATCATCCCAGACAAGTCTGGTACTAATTTGCACACCCCGGAGGGATGGAAGGCTTGGTAGCCCAGGGGGCTGGGATCGATTCCACGTGTGCATCGCAGTAGCGCCTCCAACCATTGCACCACACGGGCCCAAACATATGCCCATGTGTATATAAGGCTTTGTAAGGAGCAGTTAACGCAAAAAAAAATGAAGACTCAGAACATTTTGGAACAATATCGCCCTCTAAAATCCTCGTTCCATGACTGCGAACATTAGCCTTTGACGAAGAGGATGTTGAAGCGTTCTAATTGGAGCTGTAGAAGTTCTGTAAGCGTGGCGCAGTGGTCGGAGGAGCTCTGCAGCACGCATGGGATTGATTCCCTCGCTTCAGACGCGCAAAGCGCGCCATTCATTCTGGGTCGGTAAATTGGTACCAGATTTGTCTGGGAGGATAGCACCACTGGCTCGATACATCGGTTGGCCAAATAGGAGTCATTGCAACGGCCGGATATGCATTCAGTCACCTCTAAAGAATGCTTATTGAAGTCGGCCGCATCCCTAAAAGATAGATCAGCGCTGAGAGCTTTTTCTTTATTCTTTTTCAACGTTATTACTGAGTTTTGACGTTAAAGATGAACCCGGTAGAAAGTCTGATGGCAATAGGTAGCCACCCTGGACTAGAATGAGGCGAACGGAGTGACAAGTTATCTTAGTTTATCGTGGCAATCAGAAATTCCTGGCATGTCATAATCTGACGAGCTCTCATTACAATGTCAGACAATCGTTCGTGGTCAGAAAATTTGTTTAGGAAGAAAAAAGGGAATTGGCGAAATTCAAGGGACCAAACACCAAACTATTCGTGAATTAGGGTTTGTTTGTTATTTTTTCCGCAGTTATTTTTTCAGCGTTGCGACGAGAATCGACTTGACCAGCACTGTATGAAATTCTCAGGTAACAGCCGAAAGAACATGCGAAATGTTCGAAGACGTTTGTGAACGGCGAATGTGAGGAAAACAAATCGAAGTCAAGAAATTCTGGAATTCGTACAGTGATGACAGGTCATGCACAATGTAAAGTGTGGAGGATCATTTTTAACGCACATAGCATTTAACATGTCTTTTTCGAGAAAGGTTCGGCGCAATGAAGTACACGTTCTAATCCTTTCACGACCGCGGCCATTTTCTAGCGTCGGGCTGGTCGGGCAGCGTGTCGCTGAGGTGCAATCAGAATACTTACTTGGATACTTGGTGGTCCGTCTTCACGAACTGTGCGGACCCCAGCACTTGTGTCATTCGTTCTTTTCTCTCGCAATCGTAGTCCATGGTGGTGTTCTTGTTCGAGCATGGTAGCGCTTGCGAGTCTTATACCGTGATCTGTAAAACAACTGCAGCTGCGGGTACAAGTGATTAACTTTGTTTACGACCACGTCCGCCCAACGTGTAGGTGGTCGTCCTAGAGAACGTTTGCATTCTCTTGGAGTATACTCTACTGTTCTTTTCGCCTATCTGTCGTCTGCTCTTCTCATTATGCGACCAGCCCATATATGTTTCGCTATCGATGTATATTCACCTGGATCTCGAAGACGTGACAGATTTCTAAGCTCAGAGCTTCGCATTCCGGCTAGATATTGAGAGTGCCGGTTATATTTCAAAAGACATCGCTAAAGCGCTCTGTGAGTAGTTCGAAACATTCTTGACGTAGCTGAAGTATCAACCCATGTCTCTGCTGCATAAGAGAACGCTGGGAGGACCATAGAATCGAAGAGATGAGCACGGATTTTCGGATCTTTCAGTTGGTCGGTGACTTCTTTGAGAGAACCGAATGCGGCCCGAGGTGCTCCCCTTCTTCTATCTAGTTCGCCCTTCATGTTGTTTTCCATGTTCACTGATCGCCCATGGTATACGTACGAGGTGGTCTCTGCAATCAGAGAGCCATCCAATTCAATCTTCTCGCCTTCGCACCATGGGTTTTTCATGAACTGGGTCTTCTTCCGCTTTATGCGAAGTCCGATCTTTCTTCCCGCTTAGTTGAGCTCGTTAATCATCATCTATGTTTCGCTAGTACTTGAGAAGATGACGATGCCGTCGGCAAAACGAAGTTTTCATAGGAACTTTCCATCAATACGTACGCCTTTCTCATCCCAATCGAGTGACTTCATTAACCTGCAGTGCGATACTGAACAGCTTTGGCGATATTGTGTCGCTCTGTCGAACCCCCTTTCCTATGGGTTTCGTAAGCGGTCGATGGAAAAGCTATATTTTCGTAATGCAGTTCCGATAACTGTCGGACAGAGTTCTTATATAGGACGGGTCCACTCCTTGGTCGACGAGTGCTGATAAGATTGCATTCGTTTCGACACTGTGAAACGCTTTCTCATAGTCGGCAAAGGTTAGAACTAGAGGCAAGTGGTATTTCCGACAAACTTCGATGACCCTGGACACGGTTTGGATGTAGTCCATGCAGTAAAATCCTCTTCAAAATCCTGCTTGCTCGACTGGTTGCGACTCATTCAATGTCTATGATATGCGCGAGAGGATAATCTTCGTGATGAGTTCATAGAGTACACTCAACAAGCATATGGTACGATAGGTACGAAGATCCCTTCGGTCTCCTTTCTTGGGCAGGATGACCGTGTGCTACGTCCTCCATTGGCCTGGGATTCCTTTTGATGGTGGGCTGGCACATGATTTGCGGGAAGTACATGTAAATTATGGCCTCCAGCTCTAAGGAAATCGGCAGTGATAATATCGGATCCTGGAGCTGTGCCTCTTTTCATGCTTTCTATCGCAATTCGAACCTCCGACGGAAGAATTTCAGGTGGTTCATCTCCAACGAGAATATTAGTATCAGGGACGGGGATTGTGGAACGGAAAAGGTTGGTGTAAAACGTTTCCGCTATTAATTCCATATCATGGCGCGAAGTTTTGATGATCTCATCTTCCAATGATGCCGAGATATTTGCAAGACTCCGGACCGCAGGGTATGCAGTGGGGAACGAACACGGGCTGTTGTCCTTTCCGGGGAGTAACGCGTTCACCACTACACCATACGGGTCTTTTGTACCGCCAGTCTCTCAGCTAGTTCTATCGATGTTTTGCCATCAGCAATCATCTGTCAACGGTTTGAGCTGGGGAGCCCAAATCGGCAACGAACCCAGTTAAGCTGAGGCTGCAGTTATAATCAAAATTTTAGCTTATTATTTACTGCCTATTCTTTTCTAACGGCAGGGTACATTGCGAAATATAGCTTTCAATAACTCGAAAGACCGACTTTCTATAAAGCTCGGCATAGATAGTTGATATATTTATTTATGTGATCTTATAAACTGATCTTCTTAAGCTGACGCGAGGTTGGTACAGATCTTCGTTGTCGTTGTCGTTGCTTTTGATGTTATTGATCGATGGCTGACGTTTCGGCGACTTCACCTTCCTCGGAGCCTGGACGTATTTTATGTTAGAATACCTTTTATTATTCGGTAGAAAAGAAGGTTAAAGTGTTAATGAAAATCAAACTTTCAAATAGACGCCATATTGAACAGAAAGGCCACTCACCGTGATGTTACGTGCGGGACTGGCTCACACGTAGTTCACGTGGAGTAGCGAGCAAGGCACGCCCCGGGGTCAAAATATCATTTTGAAATAGGGCACCAGGTCACGCGTGATAGTGAGGCATTCGTCCTTCCGGTTCATCTTTGGGTTTTTGAAATTTATTCAAAACTCCTCAAGAGTTTTGCGCGTTGATGTTTTTGATTCCTGCGCTAGGATCCGCACATTCACTTCAAAATCATCGCCGTTGTGCTTTTGTGCCCTATGCGTACCTAGAGGGGTGTTTAAACGGATTTTAGCTTTTCCATCTAGATGTTCTTTTATGCGGACACAAAGTGGCCTACCCGTTTCCCCGATATATTCCTCGCCGCATGCATTACATGAGATCGAGTATATTATACCTAAACCCGTTAGGACAGATCATACAGTTTTCGGAGCTGCACAAACGATCATAGAGACGGTTTCGAACTAACTGACGGGACAAAGGACAATAGCGCGTTCGTTCCTCACTGTAGACACCTGCGGTCCGGAGTATTGCAAATCTTCCGGCATCATTGAAAGTCATATTTCACAATGTGCCCTGCCGTTAAAAAAGAATAGGCAGTAAATAATAAGTTAAAATTGATCCCATCTTCGTTCATCAGGGCTGACAGCGAAACATTATAATCACACAAGTTTCGACGACATTTTTTCGGACTGCTTCTTTTCTCTGGTGCTTCCAGTAGTTTCTTCTGTTTGTACCGTTGTAGATCTTCCTGCAAAGCTCTCCTGCAGCTGGCGTTTATTACTAGCCATGTTAGAGATGTTGCAGGAAGATCGAGCTTCATTTCATTCTCTTTTCGAGGAACTCCTTAGCAGTGATGGAGATCCGACCCGATTTTCCTGCTTGAGGAACTGAGGCGAATTCGGCACAGCTCCTTCTTTTCAGTCCTTCGACAAGCAGCTCGTAGTTTTTGGTCGGGTCTTCTTTTATCTGCCAGTCACTCTTGGACAAGACTTCGCTCAGAATGTTCTCGTCGTATACAGCTAGACTTTTTCCTCGCGGTCGATGAAAAGAGTTCTTTTCTAGCTCGCAGCTGAATCAAATCTTCGCGCGAAGAAGGCTGTGATCGGAACCAGTACAAAATGACGGGACTACCGATGTGTCAAGTAGGCACCATTTTTTGTTTGTCAGAATATGGTCGATCTCCGCATGCCGTTAGGAGATTCCTATGTCCAGCGACGGCTTTCTTTTTCCTGGAAGAACGAGTTTCCATGGAAGAGACGTGCTGCTGACGGGAGTCCTGCGAGACGGTTCCCACTCTCATTTCTTTCTCCTAGTCCAAAATTTCCGATCTTGTATTCGCTCTCGTTGGCCTTCCCTATTCTGGGGTTGAAGTCTCCAACAATAAATTTATGATACGCTTTATCATTGCTAATGACTTCCTCCAACTGATAGTAGAACGCATTTAATTCGTACTTATCACTCGCGTCGGTGGGTGAGTAGCAGTTGATGATAGTGATCTTCTTATAATGCGACAGTTGAAGACGGAGACGGCTATGCGAAGGGAAAGGATCTCGTGTGAGTCGACGAGATGGGCAATGGACGGGTGCACGACAAAGCCTTCGCCACCGATATTTCGTGACGGGATCTTTTCTCCGCGGATCACAATGGTGCCGTTGTTTAGTTGGCGTATGTCGGTCTTCTCGACTTTTGTTTTTTGTAATGCGATCACATGAAATTTAATGCGATTTGCGGTTGCAAGAAGGGCGTGAAGTTCGGCGTCTGTGGAGAGTGTTCTGGCATTATGCATGCATAGTAAGAAACAGTCTCCATGGCGTGTCGTGCGTGTGTTCGTCAGATACGGTTCCAGTGAGGTCCTGCGTAACCTGAGACCTCCCACCGGTCGTCTCACCGCCTGACGTCATAGACGGGAGCATCCGGTGTGTGGGGTACTGAAGCTGGTCTATTGCTGGTCTTGCAACTTGGTCCTCCCTGGAATCCTGACTTAACCTTGAAAGGGCGTATCCAAGTCTTCACCACGATGTGGATCTGAAGGAGGTGTGTTTTCGGAGGCAAATCTCTCGGTCTTCCTAGTGGTTGATTCGGAGAGACGTTAAAACCGAAATCGGAAACGAAAGTATGAATGAAAAAGTAACCGACCCCTCGACGACGTAGAAGCCGATATTCGCAATAAGAATGCACATTGAAATCACGATACACTTGAGAAAATGCCAGAAGCTGGACGAACAGATTTTTTGAGATTACTATCCTACTGTTCGGTTCCCTCACATTTTTTCCGTGTCTTTCTAACTTCGATATTTTCGCTCTGTGTGTGTTCCTATGATCTTGGACACCTCTTGTCGTTATCTAGCTCTTGTGTATGATAAAAAAAAATAATAATTGGAGTGCATTTCTATGTCTGTTCCATGTTTTTTATATCCAGTGATTCCATTCCACTGTCAGTAACTTACACCTACAGCTGAGAATACCCATCCATGGACCAGCCCAGTATAAAACAGTGTTCGACAAGCCATCGATCGACTGCAAAGCGTCCAAAGGTGCTGTGATCAAAAAGTAATGTATCCGCGTGAAAATAATATAAGAGAGGCGTTTTTCAACAATCCTATACACTAAATAGTTGCTGCAATATAACAGGTTCAGCCATTTCACGACAGCAGCAATTTTCGAGTGTCGTGCTTGTCGGACCGTGTATTATTGGAGCGCAATCGAAATGCGCATTGAAATAAAGATGTACGGATCGAGAAGTACAGCAGCGTACATATTGAAGTCAGTGCGCGTAGTTGTGGAAGTGTTAAGAAATAGTTCTGTTGGGAAAACACAAGGTGTTGCTTTATTCTTTATTCCGTTAAAGCCGACGTTACGACAATATCGCCCTGAGATTTTAGCAGACTCTCCGTACTCGTCCTAGCCAACGCTGCCGAATTGGGGGCTGTTTCGTTGCCAGGAGAATGAGGTCCGTTTATTCTACTGTACTTGGCATCTTGATACCCACGTATAGCTTGTTGAGCTCTGAATGTGATGGCTGGATATACTCACTGATAGCTCAATGATACTGAGATATTTGCAAAACTCCAGACCGCAGGTGTATGCGGTGGGGAACGAACACGCGCTGTTGTCCTTACCGGGGAGCAGCGCACTTCACCACCACACCATCCGGGTCTCTCGTTTTGCCTGTCTCTCAGCTAGTTCTATCGATGTTTTGCCATCAACAATCACCCGTCAACGGGATTGATCTGGGGGGCCCAAATCGGCAACGAACCCAGTTAAGCTGAGGACGCAGTTATAATCCCAATCACATAACCACAAAGAATAGGCAGTAAATAATACGTTAAATTGTAAGGACAACAGCGCGTGTTCGTTCCCCACCGCATACACCTGCGGTCCGGAGTTTTGCAAATATCTCAGCATCTTGCAGTAACTCCCACGAGTAACGGTTGTATTAAATCCTTCCAGTAGCTTTCCGGGAGTAAATCGACTCGGCTAAATCGGTTATCCGTGATGATCAAATCGGAACGCTCGAATACTGTTATCTCGTCATTCAAGAGAAAATTACGTTTAATAGGTAGATGTTTCAACAACTGCCACGACCGACTTTCTATTAACCTCGGCATTGATCAAGTAATTCTTCGTATTTTTGTTGAGCAAACGCGAGGTGTTATTGTTCTTTATTTACGAATAAGCTGACGTTTCGGCAGATTTCGCCTTCCTCAGAGCCTGGAAAGGTCAAGTTGACAGCAATCCACTCGGCCAGACGCCTCCATAACCAAACAAAGAAACTCTAAACCAAGATTTCAATCACGTTGAACACAACTTTGCACACTCACCGCTTTCTATGAGGTTTCCACTAAGTATGTCACGTGCGTGCCTAGCGGGGTATTTGGTCTATTTTTGCCGGCTAGGTGTTCTTTCATGCGGACACAGAGGGGTCTACCCGTTTCGCCAATGTATTCGTCACCACACGTCTTACAGGAGATCAGATAAACTATACCCGAGCTCATGCAATCACCGTCTCTACCAGTGGGGCAAATTATGCAATTTTGAGTTGCACATAGACGGTTATATAGGCGGTCACGAACTAGCTGGGGCTTAAGATTACTCGGTGGTATTTCAACTACGCTTACCGAATTCTCTANTGCGTGCCTAGCGGGGTATTTGGTCTATTTTTGCCGGCTAGGTGTTCTTTCATGCGGACACAGAGGGGTCTACCCGTTTCGCCAATGTATTCGTCACCACACGTCTTACAGGAGATCAGATAAACTATACCCGAGCTCATGCAATCACCGTCTCTACCAGTGGGGCAAATTATGCAATTTTGAGTTGCACATAGACGGTTATATAGGCGGTCACGAACTAGCTGGGGCTTAAGATTACTCGGTGGTATTTCAACTACGCTTACCGAATTCTCTAAACCCGCCCTTCTCAAGCAGCGTTTTATAGCTGTGCTTATATCATTTGAGATGAAGGGTAGGATGAACGGAACCCTTCTATCGCTAGAGTTGTCGTTTGGAGGCCTACGATTTCCTCTACACCTATCCTGAGCT